ATTAACAAAATGAAAGTAAAAAGATACATCTGCACACAACAAATGTTCAGTGCTGGGCTATAAAAATTAAATTTGAAACAATTTTGCAGGCAATGATGTGGTAGAAAAATATAGCTAAAAGTACAGGCTAGAAAAACGTAACTTGAAACGTTGTCACTGAATTACAATCAGCCCTACGTTTGCTTCGTTAATGCAATTCTGTGACTGACTACCCTCACACACAAGGAAGATTATTTTGAAAAAAGGTCACATCTTAAATAACAAAGTCTAGGCTCAGAATTTTTTTTACGGAAATTTAAAAAGGCTAAATAAATAAATACTACATAGATACTACATTTCATATTCATAATTTGGGTTTTAAGTAAAGCTGGAAAAAAAAATTGGGATTACCGTGAATTAAAATTATACACATTTTTTTAAGCAATCGGAAAAAGTTCTGTTATTACAATGAGACACATCAAAGCAAACATTCTTCCCTTTCAAACATCTATATCTATACAGTCCTCAAACATTTTTTTTAATTCATTCAATTGTTTTAAACATTTAAATCTGTAATAGTAATATATTTGATACATTTTACACAGCATCAAAGACATGAAAAATGAACATCAATTTGTTGTTTTTTTTTAAAGTAGAGTTGAAATGAATTTGGGATTACAGAGAATTAAAATGATACAAATTTTAAGCAATCGGAAAAGCTATGTTATTACAATGAGACACGTAAAAGCAAACACTCTTCCCTTTCAAACATCTATATCTATACAGTCCTCAATTAGTTTTTTTTTTCCTTTTTATTTTTTTAGTTTTTTTTATTAATTCAATTGTTTTAAACATTTAAATCAGTAATAATTATTTATTTGATAGATTTTACACAGCATCAAAGACATGAACATCAATAGCATATATGATAATCAAATGGAGAAAATAAAATGGCATAAGAACTAGACTAAAATAAGGTGTGCAAACTAGGTTTCTCTTGACTGCTTAGTTTACTGTGCTTTGTCCTTAGCTGAGGAGTCAAAAGTTCACATTGTAGCCACCCATGGACAGAAATAGAAACGACAGTGGGAGAAGTGTCTCTGCAGTACACATACTGATCTATCATTCCAAAAATTTTCCATGACATAAAATTGACCCTTGGCAAAGAGGGCACGCTACCTTGAAAAATCCACCAGTCCGGTTGAGTGGGGGGAAGTGTGTGTGTGTGGGGGTGGGGGGGATGAAGTGTGTATCTCTTTCTACCATTCAGGTTGTGCACTTTTAAAAACCTGGGAAACAGAAGACTGTTCTAATGTTAATTTACTTGAGGGCTGATCGAGTGATGTTTAGCTTGAGACTGTCGATATTAATTATGCATCTAGTTTATTTGCTTCTTCTGTAGTTCAAATGTTAGTTTCCTGTAAAAGTAGGATGTCAATATTGTGTTTATTTATTATGTTGTTTATATAATGTGTTTGTCCCTAGCCCCCCTGATGTTCAATGTTGCCAGAGTTGCATGAATTATTTGGGGTTTTCTCTCGAACATCTGTTTCTGGAGGGCTGGATGGTGGTGGTCTTTTAACGCCAAATTTTCCAGCCGCTGGTTTGCTATCCCGTTGGGCCCTGGTCACGACCCTTTGAGGTGGCTTTACTGTAGGTAATTGATTTTTACTTGAACTGATTGCTTGACTATATGACAGTTGACCTGATACCTTTGTTGCTGATATACTTTGTGAGCTTTTAATTTCCTTTAGCGGTTTCGTTATGTTTTCTGAACTAGTGTTATCTTGAAAAATATCATTTATTGTTTCGTCGACAGCCTCCAAATTTTCTTGATTCCCATCTTTTTGAGACCCTGTTACTATGGAATTTCTGGTCGCTACTTTCTCCATGGCTTCGGCCTCTATGGTGGTTTCTGTTACGCTTTCGTTAACTTGCTGTGATGCTGCAGTAGTATGATGTGCTTCAGTTTGGCCATCTACTCCAAAGGCATCTTCTACCTCTCTATGCCTTGCTTCTCTAAGCATTTCATTTTGTCTTTCTCCGTCAACATCATAACTGTCCCAATGCTTTAAGAAATTTCTATTGTTACTTAGATGCTCCCTAACTTCTTCTTTATCATTTGCATCCCAAGGCTATTGCCCAGTACTGTCCGTCTACTAGCTGGACGTCGTCAAGAGCGCGAGTTCTTAAATGCTCACACATTTTAGGCAGGTGTCTGTCTGTTTTGCAGTGGCAACATTGCACTAAAGAAAACTCGGATCAGTCAAAACGTTAATGAAATTGTTTTTTATCTTCTTTTAAAATTTGATGTTTAAAGCATCTAATGTTTTTATATATTCAAATTTGGGTCAAGTATTAATTGTTGAACAAACAAGCTATTAGGTTTCACATTTATCAAATAAACAGGTAAAAACTTAATAAAACATTAAAATATAATAGTACTTTCTTGTAAATATTTTAATTATTTTATTTTCTAAAAATATTATTTAACATATGAAAATAAAACCGTAGGTTGTGTCCCATGTTTCTAAGTGAATAGTATTAAAAACAATTTATTATTCAATGTGAACGAAGTTTTGAATAAGTCAATTTTGTCTTAATGTATTAAAAAATGATTTGATATATTCAGAAAATTTATTGTTAATATAAAATGTATTATAGGCTTTTACTTTCTGATTGCCGTTTTTGTAATGTTCATTTCTGTAAAAGTATTCGCGGGACCCCTGACCCTAGCACTAGTCTACATCTACCAAAGAGATACGCTTGCCAGTTAAGACTACTCGGAAAAAAACATTATCGAATGGCTCGCGTTCGTAAAAATGTCATGTTAAGGGAGATAAACGATGAATATTCGGTCTCTTTCCACTGTTACGAATAGTTCAGTCCCTTATTTTTCTGTTCTGTAAACGAATTATAATAAATTAGATAAACAATGTTTATTTTGGTTTGAAATATATATTTTAATGTTGCCTTTACAATAAACAACACGTGAAAAAAATATATATTAAGCTGATGATTTAAAAAATAAGAAACAAGATTTTGAAACCCAACTATAGTAGTTTAGTCTGTCATTTTAAAAATCACAAAAGGACAGTTACATCAAGTTACCAATTGGTGAGGTATTGTCGATGAACATGCATGAAGAGGTATGAGGCAAAAAAAATGAAGAGGTAGTTAAAATAAGCAGATGTTTGTGCCGACTTTATCCAGTTCAATAAAATAGCGTCTAAAGAGTCATTGACTCCAAAGTTTTGTTGTGGAAGTTATTTTTTTAAGGGATTGATTTGAGAATAATATACCCAATGGGGATGGACCTCACACTAATGTGACTCGCAAAGCTCTTGAGTGGAACCCCTAGAGTAAGCGGAAGTGAGGGCGCCCAAGACAGAGCTGGAGGCGGAGTCTTCTTGAAGAACTGAAGCCAACAGGGATGTCTTGGGAGATGGCAAAATTAATAGCCGGGGATAGCAAGAAATGGAAGGAAATGGTGGAGGCCATTTGTTTCTTAAGGAGCAAAGAGGACTAAGTCAAGTCAAGTAAGTCATGGGGATAGACCTAACGTGAGTGGACTCAAGACGTTCTACTGACTTGAACGCGGATTCGACCTCGACACTAGTAGGTTAGAAGCCTAGCACTCTGTTGCTTACACCACGCCGTCCTGCATGTTTGTTTACTACTGACTTAAATTAAATGTAGACGGGTAAACTGTTCTACGCCTTGCTTTATGTGTCAACAACAAGCACATGAGACAGTGGCATAAGGTGCAAGGGCGTGGTCGTTGCCATTTATATATATAATTCTCTTCTTGGATACCCAAGAAAACACCAAGCTGTAAACGCGCCTAGCAGCCCCCTCTCTTCCTCTCTATGCATACCCCTACCACCCCCACAAGGTCTGGTGAGCTGTGGTTCACGCAAAATGTTTACAATCGTAGAGCCGACTATTAGGGGCAGATAATTTAGTTTGAAACTATTTTAAACTTAGGGGAGGTAACTAAGCGGAGGCTGCTTTAACCGGGTGGGGGAGGGTAAGGGTTGGGGGAAAGGACGGCGGGGGAGGGGGGTTATCGTCCTTAACGACCTACTGATAGTGTTTTAAAGCAAATATTTTCAGTGGCAGCATTGGTACTGTCGAATTCACAAATTATGAATTACTGAAAAGTAGAAAATAAAACAACTAAAGAGCGGTGTACGCCGCGGGTCGGCTCGTGTATTGAATTAAGGCAAGCTACACATTTTTAAGGGAATATTCATCTACAATCTAAAGCGTTTCAGTCATAGGGTTCAGGTAATTGTAGCCTGACACAGTATATTGATGGAAACAAGCACCAAAGGTCCAATTCAAGACTATAAGAATATTCTTTATTCCAACACAAATTAAACTCCTACTCCTAAGTAACTAATCCTCAGTCCGACTCAACTATCTCCTAAAAATATCTAACTACGACGGCCTAATCACGTCTACCCGCTACCACTAGACTGATCAACTTCTCTCTAACGTTATCATCTCCAACTGCCCACAAGTCAATGGTCAGCTAACCGTCGCACGTGACCGGTCATCTCTTCCTACAATTCTATTGGTTCTGCTTGACTGGCCAGTGTCTACCTGATATACCTATTCTACCTGACCGAGGCTATTCTACCTTTCGCCTGCTTAACCTCTGACCTATATGTAACTAGCGTCATCACAACACATCTATATAAAATGTTGGTGTGCCAATTAACCTTATTAAAAATTACTTTTGTATTGAAGGATTTACAGACAAAAACAGTCTGCCCTTTATTTGCGTAATACAGCGAAGAGCACTTTACAAAAAGTAATATCGAGAAAACATGAAAAAGATCTTCGTTTAAAGTAATCTACATCATTGTAGACTCGCACTTGAACTCACTTATGTTACATTTAATGTTGCTTAATTTTAAGATCCAAATCATTTTTCTTATCTTCATCGTTCTATTTTTTAAAGCAATTATTAGAAGAACTTTACCCTGATTCCTTATCATTTAATATTTAGTGGACTAGTTTGACCTTGATGAATCAGATAGATTCTCAGTCTTTGAACGCTAGCTATCGATAGATTAGCAAAGAAGTCACAACCATGTTTGCTACTAAAATTTTAACCCTGGTCTTTCTTGTGGTGAGTAGATTACACAAAAACTATGTATAAACATAATAACAGTTAGGTGAAATTATGTAAACTGGCTTGGATTTTTTGTTGTAATTTACTAAGTGACCTTTGTGTATTATGAATTAACTTATTGGCAATAGCTTTAAATTAAAATTAATTGCGATAATTGTCTTTTCAGGTGGTTCTTTTGATATGCATGAATACGGTTCAAGGACAGGTAATTTTTTATTCATTATATTTAAAAATTCAGTAATTTAAAAAATAATTCGTTGCTTTTCTTTTTCCGCTTCTCTGGTTCACTACTGGCATGTGTTAAAGGACACTGTAAAAGACGAAACGTCGATGCTTGATCAATACTTTTTGTTTTGCAAAAGCCTGTTCAGACGCTGAGAGGTCCATTGACCCTCTCTCCTGTAGGTTTTGGAAATATAATCCCACAAAACCTCTTGCAAATTTGGACTGACGATGGACGTCTACATTTAATCCCATAAAACGTCTCGCTGTTTGGGGCTTAAGACTGGCCTCTACGTTAATCCAATAAAACATCTTGCATTTTTGGGCTTGAGATTAGCCTACGTTAATCCAATAAAACATCTTGCATTTTTGGGCTTGAGATTAGCCTACGTTAATCCAATAAAACATCTTGCATCTTGGGGCTTGAGATTAGCCTCTACGTTGATCCCCATGAACCATATTGCAGTTTGGGGCTAAAGGTTGGCCTCTATAATAAAGTAACACAATGGAGATGGGAAATTGAAGTGAAACTTAGAAAAGTGCCTGCCCACTTTACATTGAAGAAAGAAACACTGCATTATGGTACACCTAGTCGGGGATGGTGTGGTCTAACGGCAGAGCATGTGATTGAAATCTACAAGTCTAAAGTTTTTATATCCATCCTTCCACCGAGGGTAGCTACCCATCTAGTAGAGAAAACTCTAAAACCAAACAACTGCTACTTATCAAATTGTTCTTGGCTGGACACAGCGTATTGAGTCGCACCTAGAAAGAAACAGCAGGCTGAAGTCGGTTCCCATTGGTCATATAGTGCATTAGATGCTGACAAACAAAACTTTATTGTTTTTCATGAGAATTCTCTAAACAATACAGTTAAGGACGGAAAAGAAGAAATGCACAAAGCTCTAGTTCAGGGGTCGGCAACCTGCAGCTCACGGGCTACATGGGGCCATTTTGATGTCAATATGCGGCTCTCCAGTTCCATAATAATTGTATTATTTTATTTTCAAAACTAAAATTATATTATACTGCAGTAAAAACAAAAACTACTTTAAAAAAAACAACAATAAGAATAGTAGAGTAGGCTAGCAGTAGAGTGTATGTGGACAGCTGACAGTCGCTGGGTATTAGGCCCAGCCCCACAACTGTGCTGTAGCCAGCCGCGTGGCAATGTTTCCATGCTTTCCGCTAGCGAAAAGCACATAGACATGTAAGTGGCTCTTTCGAAATTTTTTAGATTGTAAATTTTGGCTCTTCCGTCTCAAAAAGTTGCCGACTGCTGCTTTAGTTGTCTAATGTTTTATTCAAAGTAATTTAATATCTCTTGCGCATTCCTAATAACTGTTTACTGTCACAGGCCTAAAACTGTTCTCTAAAAAAAAATAATTTCAGTCCATGCTTGGTGTCGATTCTACTCTATGTGGTGGGTGTCCTGCGGGTCAGTACTGCCAGGTCCTGTACCCACCCTGCGCTCACCCTCCCCCAGACTGTACCACCTGCCAATTCAACTGCCAACCCATCCACAGATGTGTGGCACCGTTGTAAGAGAGGTAAGCTGTAAGGTGTGTAAGCTGTAAGGTGGGTACAGTGTAAGAATAGGTAATGTAGGATAGAAATGATGTGTAGGATGTTTATGTTTGTGGGATAGATGGGGTTTGTATGATAGACAAGATAGTGTTAGCAGGATAGGCAGATTTGTAAGATAGGGCTGGTTTTTAGGATTTGTATGGTTTGTAAGATAGGAGGGTTTGAAGGATAAATAGAGTTTTTAATATATGTATGTTGTGCAGGAAAATTAGAGTTTATAGACACGTATGGTTGGTAAGGTAGTTAGGCCTATGTTTTGAAGTATAGTTCTAGGCTAATGTTTTTAATAGTGAAGGTTTGTAGGTGCTAATGATCTGTGGGGTAACAAATTAAGTATCTTAGATTTTCTGGTTTAAATCACTCTCTGTGTACTATTTTGATGACGTATCATAGAGAAAATCTACTTACTACCGAAGAGAAGAGAATAGTGTTTTAACTATCACTTAAACTTATCCCAATGATCAATGATATATTGTAGTCTTAAAGTGCATATACAGAGACGTAGCTAGGGAAGGGGAGGTGGTACGACAGCCCTGGGAGCTGACTTTAGGTGGGGGGGGGGGGGGGGTGGGGGTTTAAAAAAAGCTCATTTTGAGCTGGAATAATAAATTATGCACACTCGAAGTTAAGAAAATAGATAGTTACTAGGCTGTTCGTGCATATTTAATTGCTTTCTACATCAATTGCGTGACACCGAAATAAAAACGTAAATGGGCAGTGAATGGCAGAAAGCGACCGTGGTCGTTCTTAATTGTGGAGGGGTGGAAGGGGAGGGGGAGGGGCTTTTTTTGCCAATTTGAATTACTTTACAAATGAGAGGGGTGGGGCACTAAGACAGGTCACCCTGGGCGCGGAACGGGTCCTTATGCCTCTGTGCCTATATTGTGCTAGATCACGGGTTCCCAACCTGGGGGTCGCGACCCCCCTGGGGGTCGCGAAGGTCTTTTTGGGGGGTCGCCAACTGGTATACTAAACCTTAGTAGTTTGAAACAAAACATAAATATTTAGAAAAAAATTTGAAATTCGGCTTTATTAACATCACTGGAAATGTAATAGAGAAGAAACAAAGCGCATTGTACAAAGTTGTTCTCAGTCACGCATGTATACAATCTTCAAAACTAAAACGTCATTTGAGACGAGTCATTCGGAACACACACAAAAATATATGGAGTTCTTTCGTCGGTAAGAAGCTAGTTGCAAACGCCAGAGACTTGATCGAACAGGAAGTTTTCACCAGCATTAGTGAAAGCATCAAATGAAATCGCGATAGAAAATGCCAAGCAAAAAAAAAAAAAAAAATAGGAGAAAATCTCATCAAACGCTGCATGTACGTTAATGTTAAATAACACATTTTTATTGAAATTAAGCTTTCACCATTGTTTGCTTTTCAAGTTGATAAATCAACAGACGTGAGTTCGTGTTGGCAGTTGCTAGTCTGTGTCTATATTCATGCGGATAATAGCAAAGAAGAGTTGCTATTTTGTGAAGATAGCATGGAAAAAATAAATACTATTTTTTTTTTAAACGGGATGATTAAAATGGGTTAGAACGGCTGTGGGGGTTTGTACGGATGGTGCGCCATCTATGTTTAGCTCAAAATCGGGCTTTCAGAAAACAGAAAAGATTTAGCTCCCTAACCATTACCCTAACCAATCGACATCAAGAGTCCATTGCTAGTATAAGTCGTAAATTATATGAAATCTGGAGCCTTCAAAGAACTGAGCAAAAACATTAATATAGATCACGAGGTTCTGCTCTTCTACACTACAGTACGCTGGCTGTCAAACGAAATGTTGTAAATTGTGTTTTTGAATTGAAATCTGAAATCAAATTGTTCTTGAAAGTGCAAAGGAAACAAGACTTTTTGGTATACTTAAAACGACATAGAGTGGTTTAAGAGAGTATCATACCTAGCAGATGTGTTCGAACATCAAGGTAAGCTTAACCTGAAGATTCAGGGAAAATGAACGAATATTACAACTTTCCATGATAATCTCGGGGCATTTTTATCAAAGCTGCAAAATCGGTAAAGAAAATAAATCTTGGAAATATTGTTAATTTGAGAAACTCTGCGGTGTGGTAGATGAATCTGATTGGGAGATAATTAAAATTTTGAAAGAAGCGATTTATGGGCATTTTGAATCTCTTGAAAACGAACTGCATCGCTATTTCTCTGAGCTGAAAAAAGAGGAATCTGCATTTACGCATTATCCATGCTCTTCTTCCATTGATGTTGCCAGCATTCCCGATGAATTACAAGATGAATTCTTTGATTTGCAGAATGATTCCGAGTAAGATGAAAAACTGCAGACACAATTTTGGTGTAGTATTCACCATTCATACCCAAACGTAAAATTTATTGACTTTTCGAGAATATATTTTCAACACTATTCTTTGAATAAAAACAAAATTAAGATACTTATAATGACATAGGTTGGCGTTAAAAAAAATTTTTAAATTAAAAACTTAACCACGAAGGTTTAGTGAATAGTATGCAATTTTACTCATGCTATTAAAACAGTTATCAAGAGTAGTTCATATTGAAAGTCTACTAGCAAATCTTATTATAGTGCTTATTACTTTCCATACTAATTTCGACTTTTTAATTCTATGGGGGTCGCGGGTCACTTACTTTTTTATAAAAGGGGGTCGCCACTCGAAAAAGGTTGGGAACCACTGTGCTAGATAATTTAAATTTCTACCGAGTATAGCTGGTAACCATAAAATGTCTATACAGTGCCTGTATATTTACCTTTCATTTTCACTTTGTTGTTTTCTATCTAATTACAGGTGCAGCAAGAAGACTAGGCTAGTTGTCGACACACGATAAATTTTCTTGTACAGAGGGGAAAAAATGTACCATAGGCTACACTGCGTTAACAATCACTGAAGTAGAATCTACTTAAAAATAAAGTTTATAGCCTTCTGAAACCTGAAGTTGTTTGTCTTTTAATTTTCGTTTACGTTCCTGTTGTTACATTTGATAAGTTTAGTTTCCCAAACAATGGGTTGATAACATAATTGCTGACGTCAATTCATGTGTTTATCCTGGACTAATAATACCGTATGTCATGGATGTAACGTCACACATCAAGTTCAGTATCAACTGTAAGATGGTATTTTATATAAGTTCATACATCAAGTTCATTATCAACTGTACGAAGTGTTTCTATATAACGTCCCACATCAAGTTCAGTATTAATTGTACGGAGTATTTTTATTTAACGTCAAACAACAAGTTCACAATGAACTGTACGAAGTGTTTGTATATAGCGTCACACATTAAGTTCATTATGAACTGTACAAAGTGTTTTTATATAACGTCAGACATCAACCAGTGTATCAAATGTTAGGGGTGTTTTTAAAATCAAAGTAACCTCACAAACAGCTGATTCACTAATCATGGATGGTATAGAAAATGTCGATTTTGTGACATATCTACTAAACAGAGTGTTGTATCATTTGAATGAATCTTTTTTTTTGGCTTTGAGTTAATGGGATCCCACCCAAAAACATTAAAACGTTTAGTAAAATTGAAGAGCATAACAATTGTATGTTAATGAATTAACAATATCGTCTAGAACATATTTTTTTTTATTTCGCTGTGCCAATTAAACTTAATAACAAATTACTTTTGAATTAAAGCATTTGCAGACAAAAACATATGCCCTTTATTTGCGTAAGACAGTGAAGAGCACTATTCAAAATGAATGTGAGAAGACAAAAAAAAACTTAATATAAAGTAATTTACATTATTGTAGACTTGCACTGTAGACATACAATTTAAATGTTACCTTTCATGCTGTTTAAATATACGTTTAAAACCGTTTTCTTATCTTGATGGTTAAAACGAAAAAAAATATTATTAGAAGAACGTTAGCAAGATTCCTTATCATTTATTATTCAGTGGACTATGTTAACTTTCAGGAACCAGATAGCTTTTCTGTTTCGGTAAACTCTAGCTCTCGATAGTTTAACAAAGGGACACAACCATGTTTGCTACTAGAATTTTTACCCTGGTTTTTCTTTCAGTGAGTTGTCTATTAAAATATGTTTATAAACCTACTGTAAAAGGGCTTACATTTTTAGTGATGCTTAGTGAATGGCATGGGTAATAATCGTTAAATTATGAGTAGTGGCTTCTTAAATCTATCAAATAATTCTAATTAATTAATCACATCAGTTTTATGTCTCCAGTTGGTTCTGGTGATATGCATGATGACGGTTCCAGTACAGGTAACGCTTACTTTCTCATATTTATATAAGTTTTATAATTAAAAACCCAATAACGTTTGCTTTTACTCATGGCATTTATCTGGTTAAATACGGTCGTGTGTTACAGTGCGAAGACGAAACGTCTGTACACCTCACCGTCTATACATGATCAATACTGTTCAAACGCTTCGAGGTCCATTAACTCTCTCATCAATATTGCAATTTAGGGCTGAAGAGGGGCCTCTTACTCCTATTAATAGCTTGTAAATTGGTACTGAAGTGGTGCTTTTATGTTAAGTAACAAAATGGGGAGGTGGGGGATGGACGTCAAAAATGACATCAACTCAGTGTGACCACTTTACAGGGGATGGGAAAACACTGCATTATGGTACACCTGTCGGGGATGGCGTGGTCGGGCGGTAGAGCGTATGATTGTAAACTCCAAAAGTCCAAATTTCGGACACCTTTCGTCATCCGACGGAGTTATCCATCTAGGAGAGAAAACTTTAAAACAGAACAACTTCTGTTTTGCCTATCCAGAAAGAAACAGCAGGCTGAAGTTGGAGTCAAGCGGGTCACATGGTGCATTGCATTCTGACTCGTGCAGCTTAATTGTGTTTCATGAAAAATTCCTTTTTAAATAGAACTAAGAATGATGCGGTATACGTACGCAAAGTGTTAGTGACTCAATTATTAATCAATGTAGCGTACTGTCTCCTGAGTATTTCGTATAGTAGTTTGAAAATTTGCAAGTAGTACCATGTTTCACATCGGAATAAAAGGATAACTTTAGGCTGTAGAAGTCCAAAATGTTTGGGTTAGATACCTAAAAGGTGTTAGTATCGAATTAAGAAATACAAGTTTTTATTAGCAAAAAATTGAATATATCGAAAAATTTGTATATTGTATCCTTAACTGCAACTCTCAAGAACAACAAACATTTCAGTCCCAATATGGTGTCAATCCTGCCCTGTGTGGTTTGTGTCCTGCTGGTCAGTTGTGTGAGATAACCATCCCTTCCTGCTCACAATATTCCCCAGACTGTCTCACCTGCCCTACCAACTGTCCTGTAATACACAGATGTGTGGCACCTTTGTAAGAGGTGAGCTGGCGGTGGGTAGGATGGTATTAAGGATGGGTAGGGTGGATGTAAGAATAAGTAGGATTTGTAAGACAGGCGGGGTTTGTAGGATAATGTGGTTTGTAGGATAGGTAGGATTTGTAGGATAGGTACGGTGGATGTCAGGGTACCTAGAGTTAGAAAAATAGGTAGGGTTTAAGATAGGTAGGGTTTGTAAATGAGGTAGGGCTTCGAAGATTAACAAATTTAAAGGATAGGTGAAGCTCGTATGATACTTTTCAGTGTGTAAGACATTATTTGTTTATAATGTAATAGAAAATATGTTACTCATTCGCTTATCGTATGTAGGACAATCAAGAATTCGCGAATCACAACAGTTAGGCCGATGTACAACTAGTAACGACTGACAGGACAATCAATACATTGACCATAAATATTAAATAGGATGGTTAAAGGAAGACTGCATTATATGGGAGAAAAGCAGTAAAATCAAAACACAACAACAAGAAATTTTCTTACATTCTACTGATTTAAATTACTCTCTATCTGCTAGTTTAATGACATCTCATAGAGAAAATCTACCATACGACCATAGAAAACAGTGCTTTAAATTGGACATAAACGTATACAAATGATCAATGCCATGTGGTAGTCTCAAAGGGTCCTGAATGGGGTAGTGACAAAAAGCTAATTTTAAGCCTTGAGAAAATTCACTGTTAGTTTTAAGGGCTTATTTTAAATAATATTTAACTGATTTTTAAAAAAATCAATTGTGTAACACCAATATTAAAAAAAAACCGTTTAGGGACAGTGACTGGTAAAGATTAGGAAAGGTCGGAGGGGGGGGGGGCGATTTTTTTGGTTTGTTTGCAAATTTGAATAGCTATATAAATGAGGGGGAAAGGTGGCACAAATTTGATAGTTCGCCCTGAGCGCAGGAATCGGTCGCTAAGCCTCTGTGCCTATATCGTGCTTATTTATTTAAATTTACGCCGAGCTTAGTGCTAGCTGGTAGTGATAAAATGCCTATACTGTGCTTGTACATTTAATTTGTATTTTCTATCTAATTAAAGATGCAGCAAGAAAGCTAGCTGTCGACGCAAAAGAAATCTTGTTCAGAGGGGAAAATGTACCAAGACGTAGGCTACACTACCTTAACAATCTCTGAAATATAATCTACTTAAAATAAAGTTTAACGCCTTCTGAAATCCGAAGTTGTTTTGTCTTTTAATTTTCTTTTACGTTTCTGTTGTTGTATTTGAAAATGTGTATTTCCCACCAATGGGATGATAATTAAATTAATTCCTGACGTCAAAGAACTAATAGTACGGCTTTGCTGGAAGTCAAAAAATATTCAGGTGTTTATCCTGGACTTATAACACCATACGTCGTGGATATAACGTCGCACATCAAGTTTAGTATCAACTGTAAGAAGAGTTTTTATATAACGACACATCAACCAGAGCATCAGATGTCAGAGGTGTTTTTAAAATTTGAAAATAATCTTACAAAAAGTTGATTCACTATTCGCAATTTTATAGAAAGTATCGATTTTATGACGTACTTGCCGAATTAATTCATTTCTAAAATCAATTTAATCTTGAAATGTTGTATATGATGCAATAGAATATGTAAAATTATAATAATTTAATTACAAATATAATATACAGATGAGAGGTAAAGTGCTTCTAGTGGATACATACGTTGTAAAAAAGAATTTGGTCTCTATGTTACTCACTTGCCTATACATAAAAAAAAGAACACGAAGTTCAGCCCAAAAATGCGTAGCTTCAAAAATATTTAAATACATATACACATGCGTTTACACATACTTACAAGTGCATATCGCATGTATATTATATATATGTATATATATATATATATAAATAAATATATATATATATATATATATATATATATATATATATATATATATATATATATATATATATATATATATATATATATATATATATATTCTTTCGGGGGCGGTTAAGGGGTGACACCATTAGATGCCGCAACGGGTGTCACCCCAACCTAGCGACGCCACTGATAAAAAAATCAATATTGTTGTAGACTGGCACTTGCAGAAATGAAAATTTAAATGTTACCTAACTGGTTGTTGAATTATACGTTTAAAACAGTTTTCTTATCTTTATGGTTCAATATTTTTTAATATATTATTTTTTAAATATCAGAGGAATATAACCCTGATTCCTTATCATTTATTATTTAGTGGACTATGTTCACCTTCATGAACCAGATAGATTTTCTGTCTGAAAACGCTAGCTCTCGATAGTTTAACAAAGGGACACAACCATGTTTGCTACTAGACTTTTTACCCTTGTTTTTCTTTCAGTGAGTAGTCGATTCAAAATCTATTTATAAAACTTGAATGCTGTAAAATAGCTTTAATTTTAGTGATGAATCGTGAATAGCATGGGTAATAATCGTTACATTATTAGTAGTTGCGTCTTAAATATATAAAATAATTGTAATTAATTAATCACATTAATATTATGTCTCCAGTTGGTTCTGGTAATATGTATGAAGGCGGTTCCAGCACAGGTAACGCTTACTTTCTTATGTTTTTATAAGTTTTGTAATACAAGACTCAAGACAGTTTGCTTTTTGTCGTGGCGTGTATCTGGTTAAATACGGTCGTGTGTTACAGTACGAAGACGAAACGTTTGAAAACGACAACATCGATGCACGATCAATACATTTTTGTACATGCCTGTTCAAACGCTGAGAGGTCCAATGACCATTTCACATTCTCTCCTGTAGTTTTGAGGATGCAATCTTTTTAATAATTGCAACTTGGGGCTGAAGAGGGGCCTCTACATTACTTTTATTAATAGCTTGTAACTTGGTACTGAAGAGGCGCCTCTACGCATTTCTCATTGTAGTGTGAAATTTGCCGGGGGTACCAATTTTCACATCCCAATAAAAGTATAACTTTAGGCTATAGATGTCCGAAATGTTCAGGTTAGTTAGCTAAAAGGTGTTAGTACCGAATTAAGAATTAAAAATTGTATTGTAAAAAGTTGCTTATATCGAAAACATGTGTATCTTGTATACTTAAATGCCACAAACCTAAAACTTCTCTCAAGAACAACATAAATTTCAGTCCCAATTAGGTGTTGATCCTGCTCTATGTGGTGGGTGCCCTGCAGGTCAGTACTGTCAGATTCTGATCCCTTCCTGCCCACAATATCCACCAGAATGTGTCACCTGCCATTCCAACTGTCAAATCATCCACAGATGTGTGGCACCACTGTAAGAGAGGTGAGTAAGCTGATGTTGGGTAGGATGGTATTAAGGATGGGTAGGGTGAATGTAAGAATAGGTAGGATTTGTATGATAGGTAGGGTTTTTAGGATAGGTAGGGTTTGTATGAGAAGTAGGGTTTATAGGATAATATGCTTTGTTGGATAGGTAGGCTTTGTATGATAGGTACGGTGGATTTAAGGATACGTAGTTTTGAATGAACAAATAGGGTTTGTAAGATAGGTAGGTTTTGTAGAATATGTAGAGTTTCTAAGATAAAAAAGTTTAAAGGATAGGTAGGGTTTGTATGATAATGAGTTTTGTAGTATAGATAGGGTTTGTAAGATAGGTAGGGTTTGTAGGATAATAAAGTTTATAGGATAGGTAGGGTTTGTAAGATAGGTAAGGTTTATAGGATAATTAGGGTTTCTAAGATAAAAAAGTGTAAATGATAATTTGGGTTTGTATTATATTTTTCAGTTGTAAGACAGTATTTGTTCATTGTATAATAATAGAATATTGATTACTCATTCATTTATAATATGCAGGATAATCAAGAATTCTACGAATCTTAACAGTTAGGCCGATGTACAACTTGTAACGACTGACAGGGCAATCAATACATCGACCATAAATATTGAATAGAATGGTTAAAAGAAGACTGCATTATATTCAACAAAAGCAGTAAAATCAAAACATAACAACAAAGAAATTGTCTTAAATTTTACTGATTTAAATTACTATCTATGTGCTATTTTGTTAGAGTAAAATCTACCATACGACCCTAGAGAAGAGAATAGTGTTTTAAATCGTACTTAAACTTATCTAAATAATCAATGGCAGATGGTAGTCTCAAAGTGCCCTGAATGGGGTAGGGCAGGGGTCGGCAACCTGCGGCTCGCGAGCCGCATGCGGCTCTTTTGATGTCGAGATGCGGCTCTTCATCTCCATGATCAAATATTAATAGTTATATTATTTCATTTTCATAACTCATAAAAATATTGTTGTGCAACACTCAATATTAAAGAAATAATAATAAACATAAACAATAAACACTCGCTATTCTATTAGATTATTTAGTTACTCCCTATTTCAAGGTACTTCCTACTAACTTGTCTATCCCTAATTGAAACTCAGACATGAAAACATCCGTCACATTTCTTACACTGATACATTTCTGTAGACTACCACTTTGATATCATCACATCACATATATATAGACCACCACTCTCATAAAGTCTCATATCACATCCAAATTCTATAGACTACCACTCTCATGCGTGTAGCAAAATACCGAATCACAAAACTTGTGTTTACTTTCTCGTATACGAAATATAGAGGAAGTATTGTAATCGTGCAAAAAAAAAAAGAGATTTTTACAAATCTTGACGCTTTACACCTCACTGAGTCGGAAAAACATAGTTTTGCAATTTTGTGTTGTGTTGTGTGTGTGTGTGTGTGTATGTATGTCTTTAATTAAGATAACTTGAGTACCGTTACAGCTAGGTTGATGAAATTGCATATATAAGTATTATATCAAATTTGTTGTTCTGTATCAATTTTTCATCGATTTCCGGTAACCGGAAGTGGAACTTATTCTACTTTCAATTTTTCAAAAGCCTATAACTCTACACTGTTTCTGATAGATAAAAGGAATTTCACATGTAAGTAAAAGATCTAATTGTCTTCCCTCTGTCAAATTTTGAGTTATTTTCGTTGACTGGAAGTAGTAATTTACGCTATTTCCGATTTCTCAAAAAAAGAATATGAATTTAAAAAGTACAAATAATACTCCGCATATTATACACATATAGTTTGGCGTTCAATTGCTGCGCAATTCTTTTTTTCTCCGAGATTCTATTCTATTTTAAAAAGTTTAAGCAATTAAAAATGTATTTAAAATATTGTCTAAATCCCGAGTTGCCATTCCCATTGTTTTATATAAGAATATTCGAGAACGTTTAGGGGAGATCACTCCCGTTTTATTTATTGCACGATTACAATACTTCCTCTATTTTGCGTATACGAGAAGGGGAAATAACTTAAATTTAAATTTTTAAAAAAATACACAAACTGTGCAAATACATTGTTTAATTAGAGCTTTAAATTCATTTAAAATATAGATTAATTTTATAAAGTTAACAATATTTATTACTTGAAATATTGACAAAATTTTATTAATTATTAAAATTTAATATTTTTATTATCTCTGTTATAAACAAAAAGGCAATAAAAATACATATTATTCATTGGTATAGATAAGATCACTAACTTTTCTAGGTTAAATTCATTTTATTAGAAGGATTAATTTTGGATCCCCGTTCCGGGATAAGTTAGACAATAATCTAATTCAGGGGTCGGAAACCTGGTCTTTTGATGTCAAGATGCGGCTTTATAGCTCCTTGAACAAATATAATAATTGTATAAATTTACTTCCAATACAAGTTTACCCTTGCGTTAAGTAGGGTGAAATAAAAGCCTGATGAGAACCCAACGACATAAGCGACCGATACGCGATAGTCAAACCGATATCCAAGACAGTTTGAGTTTGCCGTGTTGATGCCCGCCTGGCTAATGGGAGACACCTCCTGGGCTGGTGTTATGCGTAAAAAAAAAAAGAAAAAAAATTAACATCTTCTAAAGTGGATTGGGATAGTATAATATTTGATTAATAATTTTATTATTCTGGCGAAACATGTGTATGTTTTTATACGAATTAATATTATTTCATATTTAAAAGCTATTTATTTTAAATAACAAAATAACAAATCAAATTATTTACCTAATCCTAATCAAATACCAAATGTTGAAATAAAAATGTTAGTGGCTCTTTAAAAACTGGTAAATTTTGTAAATTGTAACTTTTGGCTCTTCCGTCTCAAAAGGTTGCCGACCCCTGGGGTAGGGGAAAAAAAGCTAATTTTGAGCTTTGATAAAATAGACTATTTACGGGCCAATTTGACTGCTTTCTACATTAATTGTGTGACACCAACATAAAAAACCGTTACGGGACAGTGGCTGGTAAAGATTAGGAAAGGTCGGGGGGGGGGGTGGCGAGTTTTTTGCTTTGTTTGCAAATTTGAATAGCTATAAATATATATATATATATATATATATATATATATATATATATATATATATATATATATATATATATATATATATATATAAGGTGGCACAAAGTTGATAGTTCGCCCTGAGCGCAGGAATCGGTCGCTAAGCCTCTGTGCCTATATTGTGCTTATTTATTTAAATTTATGCCGAGTTTAGTGCTAGCTGGTAGTGATAACATGCCTAAACATTGCATGTATATTTAACTTCTATGTTCTATTTTATTACAGATGCAGCAAGAAGACTAGTGTAGCTGTCGACTCAAGATAAATCTTCTTGTTCAGAGGGGAAAATTTACCAATGCCTAGGCTACACTACGTTAACAATCACTGAAGTATAATCTACTTAAAAATAAAGTTTAACGCCTTCTGAAATCTAAAGCTGTCTTTTAATGTTCTTCCACGTTCGTGTTGTTATATTTGATAAGTTGTATTCCCAACCTAGTGGATGATAACTTTATCCCCGACACCAATGAGCTAATAGTACGGCTTTGATGATAAGTCAACAGCTTTTCTTTGCAACTTTTTTCGAGGATGAGGGGGGGGGGGGGGGATACTTGAAACTTTGGGGTGAGCGGACAAAATTTTTCGAGGGCGGACACTGGTAAAAGTATATGTTTTCTATTTAAATTATATTTCGTTCGGCGGGCGGTAGACGTAGTTTAAGCCGTTTAGGGGAGATCACTCCCGTTTTATTTTTTGTACGATTACAATACTTCCTCTATACTTCGTATACGAGAAAGTAAAAAGCGCATGGAAGGGAAATAACTAAAATTTAAATTTCAAAAAATACACAAACTGTGCAAATACATTGTTTAATTGGAGCTTTAAATTCATTTAAAATAGAGATTAATTTTGTAAAATGAACAATATTTGTTACTTGAAATATTGACAAAAATTTATTATTTATTATAATTTAACATTTTTTATAGTCTCTGTTATTAACGAAAAGACAATAAGAATACATATTATTCATTTGTATAGATAAGATCACTAACTTTTAGTAGTGTTTACATTTAATAAAAAAAAAGTAGTAATTTTGGATCCCCGTTCCGGGATAAGATAAACAATAATCTAATTCAGGGGTCGGCAACCTGGTCCTTTTCATGTCAAGATGCGGCTTTCTAGCTCCTTGAACAAATATAATAATTGTATAATTTCAGTTCCAATGGACGATTGGGTACAAGTTTACCCTGCGTTCATTTTATTTTCTATTTAAATTATATTTCTTTCGGCGGGCGGTAGACGTAGTTTAAGCCGCCATACACCCCTGGACTTATAACAAGGTACGTCATGGTTATACCGTCACACTTCTATTTTACTACCGTACGTCAGAAGTGTTTTTAAATAACGTCACACTTATATTTTACTATCTGACGTCAGAAGTGTTTTCAAATAACATCACACATCAACCCGAGTATCAAATATCAGAGGTGTTTTTTTCAAAATCGAAAGTAATCTCACAAACAGCTGATTCACTATTCACGAATTCTATAGAAAATATCGATTTTGTGACATATTTGTTGAACAGGGCGTTGTATCGTTTGAATGAATATTTTTTTGCTGTGAGTTAGCGTATACTGTGGGAATGAATTGTTCACCTCTAGATCGCATGTTTACTAAACTGAAATTCTGGCGTTCTGTTGAAGAGCGCAAGACCATCGAGATTATTTTAGACCATTCAGCTCAAATGGGTGTTTGATTTGATTTTATTGCAAGAGATGAATAGCAAATAGACAAATAGACGAGTGTATAGAGACAGAGTAGCTCTACTTCATTACCCTAACGCGCCCTAACGGAAGGGATAATTTTATTTGTATTACAGTTCATATAGAAATGGACAATTTTTAAAAATGTAAAGAATAGGAAATTTGACATGACATGATAGCGGTCTGCCAGTGGTTAATTTTGATATTATGTCATTTTTATATTATATAATATTTTATATGTAATATTTTATAATATGTAATATTTTATATTATGTAATATTTCATATTATGTAATAGTTCATATTATGTCATCATTTATATTATTTAATATTTTATATTATTTAATATTTTATATTATTTAATATTTTATATTATTTAATATTTTATATTATTTAATATTTTATATTATTTAATATTTTATATTATTTAATATTTTATATTATTTAATATTTTATATTATTTAATATTTTATATTATTTAATATTTTATATTATTTAATATTTTATATTATTTAATATTTTATATTATGTAATGTTTAATGGTCTGACGGGGTAGAGCTATCTGCTTTTTTATTTTCTAATATTCCAATTGTATAAGTAGTTTTTTGGGACGCGTGGCCTAGCGGTATAGCGCTAGACTGCCAACCCGAGAGTCTCGAGTTCGAATCCCGGTTCAAGTCAGAAGAACATCCCTGATTCCACCCAGCTCTGATGGGTACCTAACTCATGTTAGGGAAACATAGTGCTTACCAAGCTATCCCTACAAATGAAGAGGTCTTTAAAGCAGATGAAGTCTACTTTATCTGCCCTATGTGTCTTGGGCACGAACGGGAAATGATGATGTTAAGTTGTTTTACTTTTTTATAAACGGAACTGTTTAATAAATAAGTTTATAGAATTGGCCTATACAACATTTTTTCTTTAACACAAAGTAAAGATTTAATAACTGTTTCAAAAGAAAATAGTATATGAGGCTATATTTATTTGTATAGTACTGACATGTGCACGATTTATTAGGCACTTTTTAAAACAAAATGTGTTTTCACTTAGCCTCGACACCAAAACGCCAACATTTTTCACACACTTATTATAACTGTGTAGGGGAGGCAAGCGTGCTTGTTTAAATTGTGTTTACCTATCCCAGTATTGCGACCTCTGCCAGTGAGCAGATTTAGTGAGGGGTAAATAACTGTAAGCTTCAACGGTTCGATCTCTTAAATGCACTTTTGTCGCAGCTTGTCTTGTGTGTTAATCCTAATCGGAAAATCCATTTCTGTTTCATAATCCGATCTGAGAAGCTCACGTGATATAAATAACTTACCAGTGTGCAACTATCAAACAAGGAGCAGTAGGTTCTCTGACGATCACACTGTGGAGGTATACCTAGAAGACACGTTAAACAAATATACTGGGTCTTTGTTAATTTCGCGAAAGTGTTTTCAAGTAAAATACAAAACAAGACGAAGATGTTCGTGCAAGTGAGTTTGTATCTGGTGAGTAGAAAATCAGATTGACTTAGGAACAGTTGAACGAAAACGATTGTATTTATTTAATCTGAAGGGAGATATTCGTAACACGATGCATGTTATTTGAAATGTAGTCTATTGTTTATTTTACTTGAATGCAAATTTAAGTATTTACACATATGTATAAATCTATCTTAGTAGTCCACAATGAAGCGTTTTTAGGACAGCAACTAATCTACGAGAGAAAACTAAAGTCGGTAAAGCTCGTGGTTGCTAAAGTCTCGAGTTCGAACCCTCGGGCAGATGAGGCTCGTTACCTAGGGACAGCCACTCTTCTAGGAGAGACAACTCCAAAATCAAACAACTACTGCCTTGTTTGTTCTTGGTTGTACAAAGGGCTATGGTAGTATATCCAGAAATAAAAGCACGCTGAAATCTGAGTCGACGGCCTATATGGCGTTATATTTAATTGTGTTCGATATATAAAATTAAGAACAAAGAAGAAGAGGAATAATTTTTTTTTTCTGAAATAAATTTTTAAAACACGATGTTATTATCATCCTTATCTTAGAGATAGTCTTGTTTATTTTTTGTAATACTGATAAAAATCTTCAAATGCAACCCGATGTTACTAAGACATAAAAATAATAGCATAATAATAATTTTTTATGACAAAATGTCTAGTAGACCTACATTATTAGAAAAATAACAAAATTCATTAATTACGATTAAGAGTTATCTTTTTAATGATAACAACCTTCATTCTTGGACTTGGCCACGCTTCTGTGTTGGGCTGACTCCAAGTCCTCAAACAAATACGAACCAGGGTAAAAAGAATTAGAAGTCTTGAGCTCTACAACTAGACCACACAGTCTTACATAAATCTCATAAAATTTCTTCTTATTATAGGCAATCTTCGCTTCAACTGTAGTCGAGCCTCGTCCCTTGAATGGTACAGTAGAGTTAAGCGGGAAGGTTGAGATCGACATTGGACCCCTTGTGGACGAGATAAAACAGTTCCTTGAAACTGAAGGCGTCGCAATTCTGAAAGATCTAGGCAGCAAATTCTCTAACTCGTGTTTGGAATGTCCTCAAGGACACGAGTGTAGGACATTCCACGCGGCTTGTCCTGAATACGACGCGTGTTTACTGGAGAAGGAATTGAACACGGCATCTGTTCAGGAGTGTTCGTTTGCCTTGTGCAAGCCTGTGTCAGTGTGTGTTTTAATTTCTGAATCTCGTGATAATCAATCGCAATCTTCTCCAGCTGGTGGTACGGTAGACGGTATCATTGATGATCACACAATAGCTTCAGATAAAACAACACCATCTAATTCTGGATATCAATCTACACCTTCTACGATACCAGAACAAGAAACAGCTCCTAACTCCGGATATCAGTCAACCTTAGAAGGACAATCAACACCATCGAATTTAGGATATCAGTCAACTTTAGAAGGACAAACGACACCATCTAATTCAGGATATCAGTCAACTTCATCAGAACAAGCAACACCTTCTAATTCAGGATATCAGTCAACTTTAGCTGAACAATCAACACCATCTAATTCAGGGTATCAATCAACTCTAGCTGAACAAACAACACCGTCTAATTCTGGATATCAGTCAACTTTAGAAGGACAATCAACACCATCTACTTCAGGATATCAATCAACTTCATCGGGACAATCTACACCATCTAATTCAGGATATCAGTCAACTTTAGCTGAACAAACAACACCGTCTAATTCAGGATATCAGTCAACTTTAGAAGGACAATCAACCACATCTAATTCAGGATATCAGTCAACTCTAGCTGAACAAACAACACAGGCTAATTCAGAATATCAGTCAACTTCATCAGAACAATCAACACCATCTGGCTCAGGATCTCAGACAACTTTAGCAGAACAAGCAACACCATCTAATTCAGGATCTCAATCCACACCTTCTACAATACCAGGACAGGAAACAGCTCCTAACTCCGGAAATCAGTCGACTTTATTCGATCAGGCAACACTATCTAATCCAGACTATCAACCAACATTAGCAGCAGCATCACCAACATCCGAATACCAATCAACAACACCAAACCAGGCAACATCCGCTAAACCAGACGAATCAACCTCACCAGCAGAAAGAACATCTGCAACTTCCGAAAACCCAGAAGCAGTACCATCATCAGAAACAAACGCGCAATCGACAACATCGTCTTTAGAAACTACAACATCTTATATCACAGACACGTCAGCATCTTTATCAAACACCAATGCACCAACTAACAACGACAACAACAACGACAACCAACATGATTTGACCACACCGGACGTCAACCCATCCACAACAACCCAGGAACTCGTGGCACCCACAACCCCACCACCCACGGACAAATGTGGGGGGTGTCAAGTCGGGCAGAGCTGCCAGCTCTACTATCCCCCATGTTCTGGCGTCGACGCTGCCTGCCTAGCAAGACAAGCCGCTAATCCGGAGATTAACTGTAGCTTCTCACAGTGTAATCCGTTTTACGTGTGTATGTCTAACTCATAATGACGTCACCTTGAGCCTACAAAAGGCACACACGTTCATTTACTTTTACTATTAAATCATTCTTTTGTGACATGTAAATAGAATAAGTATACAAAGTTTTATAGACGAAACGTTTCTAAATGAAAAACCTTAATTAGATTTATTGATCTTTGACAAAAACAATATTTTATAATTGGTTTTAAATAAAACAAATATTTAAAATCGAATTTTTCATTAGTAATATATTTAACTTTTAAAATCTTATTAGTTGAATTTAACCGTAATCCCTGTCCTTATTGTTATGCATTAAATTCGATTTATCGATCCCAATACTGTTGAGTAATTGTTTTCAATTTCTATTTCTCCGGTCAGTCCCCATCCACACCCTCCCTTACCCTCCCCCTAAGCCTCACTTAAATAATGTGAAATCGACACAACTGTCACACAACTGAACTAAAAACTGAACAATAAGTTATTTACTTTTTTAGAATTTGTAATCCTTCTTAGTTCACTTGTGACTTGACTGAATTGGAAACCAACAATGATGTATGATTTAAAATATATAACGTCAGTGGACCAAATATAATTTATTTTTATTTTTTTTTTCTATTTCGTTTTGTTATATATTTTAACACTCTTTTTAAAATATGGATAAGCTGAAAGACGATAACTGAGTTTTAATTTTTTGTAGCGTTTTTTTCATTAGCGGATCTACACTTTAATGAAGCTATTTTGTGTTTATAGTCAGAATATTTCTATGCAAGTTCTTCTTTACTGTGATTGTGTATGATTTTTTTTATTGTAGCTACATTACACGTATGTCTACAACTATATAACAGTAAGAAAATTTACATTAAGCTGTTTTTGTTTTTTGGAATCTAATATATAAAGCTCAGTTCTGTATGTAATGCATAAGTTTGTCGTTGACAGTTCTATGGATTTAAGTGTTAGATTTTTTATCGTGCTCATATTCTAAATGTACGAGTCAAAAAATTACCATTGAAAGTCTTTAAAAACAATTTTCATTCTATTTACTTAGAAGAATAATTTTCAATTATGAACGCGACATAAAATTTTTAAAAAGTGTATCGACGTTTATAAAATTTCTAAAATTGTGTCGGAAATGTATTGACTGCACAGTTACTTCCCTTTAATAAAAAAAATTCTTAAGAAGAAAGAATTTACCTTTTATTACTTTGTTTTTGGTGTTAAGAAAAAAAAAATAATTACATAATTAGCGGGGATTGATTAAGTGCAAAGTCGTTAGGTATTTTTAACACTGCCTTTTATTTATTCTATACACTGAACATACTGTTCAATATTTTTTTTTTTTAAATCAATAACATTTAATAAGCCAGGTCCTACAAATCCTATATGTTTATTTCTTTCCATTTACGGATAAGCTTGGAGTATTATCATTTTTGTTCACTAAATTGAAACAGGCGCGTCCGCCGGCGCCCTTGCACGGTTCGATTTGGCACCCTGGGCTATCATGTGAGCGCTATGCTGCATAGTTTTGTTTTTAACAGTGCGATAGACTATGGGTAAGAAAGGTTACTATAGACTTTAAGTGAATCAAATCCGGGCGTCCTCCGGCACCCCGACAGGGTGCTATTTGGCGCCCCGGGCCTTCCGGTGTACGCTATGGTATATACGTTCGCGTGAGTTCAAAAGACTATGAATAAGTTATGTACTATAGTCGTTTACTAAGTTCAATCAGGCGGTGACGTCATGGTGCGTCCTCTGGCGCCCAGACAGGGTGCTATTTGGGGTCCCGGGCCTCCCGTGTTCGGTTTCGCGCCTACGTTCATTAAAGTGAGTGCAAAAGACTATGAATAAGTTGGGGTACTATAGTCGTTTATTAAGCTGAAACAGGCGATTCCGCCCCGGGCTAGACTCTGAGCACTGTGCGTTTATGTTCGCGTTAGTGTTTTCTTTGTGTTTAGGTTGGGTTTGCGTTAGTGGTTGCGTTTTGATTTGGTTCGTTTTTGTTCTTTCTTTTTTCGTTTTCGTTTGTGTTTTATCTTCTTTGCGTTTGTGTTTGTATTTGTGTTTGTGGTTGGTTTTGCGTTTGTATTTGGTTTGTTTTCGTTTGTTTTTTCGTTTGTGTTTTTTTCTTTGGGTTTGTGGTTGGCTTTGCATTTGGATTTGGTTTGTTTTCGTTTGCTTTTTCGTTTGTTTTTTTTCTTTGTGTTCGTATTGGTGTTTGTGGTTGTGGTTGGGTTAGTTGTTAGGTTTTTGTTTTCGTTTGTATTTGTAATTGTGTTAGCTTTATGTTTGCGTTTTGTTGTTTTGGTTTGGGTTTGGGTGTGCAATGCCGGGTTTATGATGATTACTAAACACACAGGTAATGGTCTTTAACAGAAAGGTTTTTCACAGAAGCCAGAGCAGGGCCTGGCCGGGACGGCTAGTTCTAAAATAAAAGTTATACGTATATATTATTTCCTGTATTTACAATTCTCTGTTTTGTTTAATAAAGTGTTAAGATTTCTCTGATTCAAGGAAATAAACATATGCAGCAACAAACGAACACGAATATGTTACATATTGTTTTACAAACTTTTACCTAGATCACTATGTCTGATATGTCTCTGTGTGTGGGGGTGGTTTGTGGTCAGATCTTGTAACTCATTGCTGGTCAAGACCTCATTCATCGACTGCTTACTCGCATAACAGATGTGAACATTTCAGATGAAAACGCAAGAATATCTCATTTTACACTGATACTTTTTACATCAGTAATAAAAAAAAACTGTTTTAGTAATTACAGTATTTAAAATCATATTTGAGCATAGCTAGGTAGTAACGGTTGCAGCTGGTGTTAATGAATAGTAATTACAACATTAACTTAGACCTTTTAAAATGGTGTACTTGTAAAGTTGTTATACTTCAATGCTATTCTAGTAACATAGTAAAAACATTCTTCATATGTTAAGGGGTTAGGTTCCGGAAAATTTTCCAAATTTTGTTTGGTAGAATACCATTAAAACTAAAGCTAAATTTAATGGTACTGAGACCACACAAAAATGTTTTTTTTTAAGATGGCCGTTGTTTCCGTGGCAGCCATATGTTAAGAAGAGTCCCGAATGCATGCACATATTTTCTATTAAGTACCCTTAACTTACATACAGACAAATTAAAAAGGCTTATTAAGACGTGGTTTTTCCGTTGTTGTTTTTTTTTCCCAGAGCCTACCCTCTTAATATGTAATGCATTGTTATGAAATAAAGACAGTTTTTTTTTCAAGTTTAAATTGTATTGGCTCGTAAAAATCAAATCTTAAGGTTATTTACTATATCTTGATTTCTTATCTCTGAACCTTTTTTTTTCTCTAAATTTTAGCCTGCTATCTCTTGACGCGTGTAGCTTACTGATAAATATAGCACTGTCTAACAATAATAGGCGCTCACGTGTATAAAAAAACCTAGAGTCATGGTTATCATGCGACCTTTGACCCTGCTCTGTCTTGCGGTGAGTTATTTACCTGTTTATATTTTTATCACAACATTAATCCTCACATTGTAAATGACAACATAAAGTAATCTATATCTACTTTTTAAGCTATACATTTTCTTGATATTTAGTTTAAGTGTTAATGTTTTATAAATTGTTTCAATAAATTATTTGCGTTGATTGTTTTTTTTTTATTGTTATCAGATGATGTTTGGGAACTGCGTCAATAAAGCTTTAGCCCAGGTGATTTGTTTTTCTCCCTTACTCAAACAAATAAACATCACACTGGTTATTTGGGTTTTTTTAGTTAAATTTTTAATTACGGTGCTAAAAGATGGAGAAATACCACATTCCACATATAGTCTTTGTACATCATCGTCGTATAGATTTAAATTGATTCAGAACCGCGTCACAACATTTGTATAAATACATTTAAGGAAAACTCCCCGTCCGTGCACAGCCAACGCCACATACAACATAGTTACATACACTCCGACACACGCCTACACAACTCGACACACAACCACCAATGCCACATACTACATAATTACATACACTCCGACACACGCCTACACCAATCGACACACCACCGCCAACGTGGACGTAAACCTACGGCATGCACAGCACCGCAACATCCTACATACACACCGACATAAACCTACATCAATCGACACAGTAAACCTAAAGCGTGACCGCAACATCCTACATACACACCGACATAAACCTACATCAATCGACACAGTAAACCTAAAGCGTGACCGCAACATCCTACATACACACCGACATAAACCTACATCAATCGACACAGTAAACCTAAAGCGTGACCGCAACATCCTACATACACACTAACATGAACCTACACCAATCGACACAGTAAACCTAAAGCGTGACCGCAACATCCTACATACACACCGACATAAACCTACATCAATCGACACAGTAAACCTAAAGCGTGACCGCAACATCCTACATACACACCGACATAAACCTACATCAATCAGCACAGTAAACCTAAAGCGTGACCGCAACATCCTACATACACACTAACATGAACCTACACCAATCGACACAGTAAACCTAAAGCGTGACCGCAACATCCTACATACACACCGACATAAACCTACATCAATCAGCACAGTAAACCTAAAGCGTGACCGCAACATCCTACATACACACTAACATGAACCTACACCAATCGACACAGTAAACCTAAAGCGTGACCGCAACATCCTACATACACACCGACATAAACCTACATCAATCAGCACAGTAAACCTAAAGCGTGACCGCAACATCCTACATACACACTAACATGAACCTACACCAATCGACACAGTAAACCTAAAGCGTGACCGCAACATCCTACATACACACCGACATAAACCTACATCAATCAGCACAGTAAACCTAAAGCGTGACCGCAACATCCTACATACACACTAACATGAACCTACACCAATCGACACAGTAAACCAAAGGCGTGACCGCAACATCCTACATACACACCGACATAAACCTACATCAATCGACACAGTAAACCTAAAGCGTGACCGCAACATCCTACATACACACTAACACAAACCTACACCAAATCTACAGAAATCTACAGAAAATCGCCAACGTGAAAGTAAACCTAAGGTGTAGGTGTCTGAAACTTGCTCTAAGCTGCTCATTTCCTAACATATAATTACAGTTACAAATATTTGGTGACGACTTCTATTGCCTTAAACATTGAATTCTGGCATTTAATCTAAATACGATCACATCAAACTATCCCTTCACTGATGGACCATGGGATGGTGAGATAACTCAGCAATAATGGGTACCTAACTCAGGCTAGAGAAAAGCAGCTGGGTATAGTGCTAACCACATTACCCCTTCACATGCCGAGAAACAGGTGAACTCTACTTCACTTGCCTCATGTACCGTCAGGTTCGAATAGGGAACTTTACTATTTGACCGATAAGTAAACTGGGGAATTTCAAGTTGATCATATTCAAACATGTACTATACAAATTAACACACGCGAATAATCAAAGTACTGTTTTACAATAACTTTTATTTTAAATAATAAAAACATAACTAAATAGTTCGTTTTGTGGTGATTTTGCAGACACCGGTGCAACTGGGCGTCGATCCTGCATATTGCGGCGGTTGTCAGACTGGTGAATACTGTCAGATCTTCTACAAACCCTGCACACGCCCGCCCCCGGGATGCCTCACCTGTGAATGTCTACCTGTCTACTACTGTATAACAATGGTGTAGCGCTAATTTAAAACTATTCTAAATTTTTAATGAGAGTTTGGAGATTTTTTTTTACTACCAGTGTCTGATAATATAATCTTCTTTAAAAATGGGTTGTTAGGTTACTGGTAGTTGACTAAAATTCACACATGGCTTTCTAATGTCAATACTAACCCTATCCCTACCCTAACCTCATTTCTTACCATACGCCTAACCCTAATTTCTAACTAGCCGAGATTACAATACTACTATCAACCTAACACATCTAGTTTTGATGATTCTATTATCAGACATCGGGATAAACAATCATCCGTTTAATTTTTTTTAATGTAAGAATTGCTTCTGGTTTTCGCCTTAATGTATCATAGTGATGGCTTATGTAGAACTATGTCGTGAACACATTAGCACGATGTTACGGGTAACCTAGTGCGTCGCACAACATAAGACAAACACCCACAAACGTGTTACAGAACACAAGACTAAATAAAATAGTTGCAATACGAAATTATAGCTAGACACAAAACACAAAAGAAAAACATAAACCTAGGATACAGTGGCCACAGAACTAAAGTACACAGCGCTAACCTACACTAACCTACAGTAACCTACACTAATATACACTAATCTACACTAACACAACACTAACACAACACTAACACAACACTAACCTACACTAACCAACACTAACCTACACTAACCTACACTAACCTACACCAACCTACACTAACCTACACTAACCTACACTAACCTACACTAACCTACACTAACCTACACTAACCTACACTAACACAACACTAACACAACACTAACACAACACTAACACAACACTAACACAACACTAACACAACACTAACACACCACTAACACAACACTAACACAACACTTACACAACACTAACCTACGCTAACCTACACTAACCTACACTAACCTACACTAACCTAGACCAACCTAGACCAACCTAAACCAACCTACACCAACCTACACCAACCTACACCAACCTACACCAACCTACACCAGCCTACACCAACCTACACCAGCCTACACCAACCTACACCAACCTACACCAACCTACGCCAACCTACGCCAACCTACGCCAACCTACGCCAATCTACGCCAACCTACGCCAACCTACGCCAACCTACACCAACCTACGCCAACCTACACCAACCTGATTGATGTAAAGTGCTGTACTGAGGCGAGCAAAGAACGCTAACACAGCAAGTACAAACCAGACTATGACCACGTGATTAAGACAGCTCACAACATGAGGGGTAAACACTAGGGGACGGAACCAGAGTTTCTTTCAAGCATCTCTTCTTCTCCCCCGAGAAAAAGTCTGAAAAAAACAACAGGTTACTACGTACAAACAACATTCACCCATTTCACCCCCTTCACTCATTCGCTACAACCTAGATTACAGATCGATATGTGGGTTTTATTACAGTATTTACATTTTTTTTAAAATCTTAGACAAATATAGGATCATAGTGCTTTTTTGTGCCTAATTAGGCAAAGTGACTAAGATAATGTTGGCGTGTTGTTGTTTTTAACCTACTAAATTTAATTTTTTTTTTAAATTGATAAATGTTTATAAAACGTGCAGTTAAGTTGTATTGATTACAAAATAAACCACAATAATTGCTGGGGCAGCGTGGTCTGGCGTGTGAGCGTATGGATGCTCACCCGATCGTTACCAGATCGAGACCCTGGTTACACATATTTAGACAAAGGCAAATGTAAAGTTATGGTATCCGACATTTTTTTTTAAAGAAACGTACTATATATTTTTTTATTATTTGATTATGCATGTTGCATAAAATAAAAACTATGTGAAACTGTATAACTTGCAGGGATTTCAATAGAAGATAACACTAAAGAAAATGAAGGTAACATACGCTAAATTTATTAAAAATGTATGAATTTCTGCAGAAAGCTATCTTAAATATAAGCTAAATAAACGTTGCAGTGGTTTTTTTTAATTTAATTCACTTTCAAAGTCCAGGTATCACTAATATTAACATGGGTATTTGAAACATCTAAATATCCGCATTCGGCCATTAATTAAACCACCGCGAAAAATAAATTTAAAAAAACATGTAAAAAACACTGAACACAAAACAACTTGCCATTGTAGTCACAAAGTAACTACAATATCATATTTCATAAACAGATCACGATCGTTATAAACAAATCTTAACCTGAGAAGATACATTTACATAAATTGGTAAAAACAACAACATAAACATGTTTATTATAAGCCGTAATTAATTACTTTTAAAAAGCTTCCAAGAAACTATTCTACTGGCAACCTCTACTTTGTCTACACACACCTTACACTAAATACTATACTAAGAAAACAGTTGGGAAGGGGAAGAGGGGGTGTAATACTTGACGTGTTAGAAAACGAAACAATTAATTACTTAAATCTTGCCGTCAAATAATAGCTAAGCTGGATAAAATGTTTCAAACTGTTGACGCAGAGCAGCAACTGAATTAATAACCAATACGTTTCACAGTTGCACAATGCATAATATTAGCAAAATAAACTGCCGGATGCGGTTTTTTTTTTTGTCTCACAACGAGCATAACATGCGTTAAAATATACAGGTAACGTGAACATAACCCCACGGCAAGGATGTACAAGTTCGGTGACCCCACGACTCACTGGTCATGTTGACAACATTTCAGGATACGTAGGATGGTGCGTCACCAGTATCCGTGTTGGTGACGCGGATATATTTATATCCGGAGGTAAAGTTGAGGTGTACCAGGTCACGTGACCGAGGTAACAGGTACAAATAGGGCGAGAATTATTGTCTGCAGACAGTCTTCAAATCTACCTTACATCATAATGGCTTCATACCTGATTCTCTGCGCTGTCACAGTAAGTAAATAACTGTATGTATATATATATATATATATATATATATATATATATATATATATATATATATATATATATATATATATGTATATATATATATATATATATATATATATATATATATATATATATATATATATATATATATATATATATATATATGTATATGTATATATATATATATATATATATATAGAGAGAGAGAGAGAGAGAGAGAGATATATATATATATATGTATAAACTGACTGGTCATTCTTCTTTACTTAAAAATGTTACTTTTCGTCGCCTCTACTTAAGTCAACGATTTTTCATATTTTAATGAATGTTTGCTTTCTACCTTTCAGGTGTGCACACTGTTTTTACAGGTAAGCGAAAGTACTTACGTGTAGTTTCTATTGTGGTAAATTTAAAATAAATCCACGCTCTTGTGAGGCGTAAATATAAGATGAAGAAATAAAAAGTAGTTTTAAAATTAGTGATATTGTAGTATACTTTTGTACAAATGTATTTATTTTACAAACTATGTTTAAAATGTAATTCTTTTATTTATTTATTGCAGACCCAAGCATGTATGTATGGTTTCACTGTTGTCAATTAATTAGCATAATTTATCACCAATATAAGTAAAACACTATTATGTGTGTATAGCGTTTTGTATGAGCAATTAATATAGTGAAAAGATTATTGAGCTGAAGAGACTGACCATCACATTCCAAATTATGAGAACCACTAACCTTACACTTTAATTTCTTCTATTTTTAGTTCTACCCTTCCTCGACCCCTGCTCCAACTTCCCCTGTTACAACGGGGGTCAATGTACGGCCCCAGCTGACGCCCCCTACTGTGTGTGCCCACCAGCTTACACTGGGGCTAATTGTGAAACCAGAGTTACGTCTTCTGGGAGATGTCCAGTAAGTGATTTTTAAGACATATTAATTTTAAAATGTAATACAGATACATATAGGGGACGGAGTGGTCTAGTGGTAAAGAGCTGGGTTGCTAACCCGTAAGTATCGAGTTCGAATCCGGGTTCAAATCAGTAGACCATCTCTGAGTCCACCCAACTCTGATGGGTACCTAACTCACGTTAGGGAAAGTTAAGACGGCTGGGCATAGTGCTGACCACACTATCCCTTCATATGCCGAGGTCACAGAAACAAGTGAACTCTACTCCACTTGCCCTTATAGACTGTCGGGTTTAAAAAGGGAACTTTTTTACTTACATATACTTATATATGAATCATTTCTTCGTTTCCCTTTTCTGCCTAAGACACGTGACCGACAAAAAAGCTCCCTCCACTTTTGTCAGTCTTCGACAATGTTCCTGGCAGTCCCCCATGACAGTCCTGTCTCTGCCAGCTGCTTCCCTTTCGTGCGCCTTCACGTCACCCTTGGCCTTCCTTGCTCTCTATTTCCTTGAGGCGTCCAGTTTAGCTCCTTTCCCGCATCGAGATTTATTCGTAGGACAAACCCCATCCAGCCAGCGCCATTGCACATATGCATAGAAACATTAATAATATGCATTAATCATCTATTACCGTTCGTGCCCAAAAGACGAGGGGCATCTGTTTAAATAATCTCGGAATACGAGGCGATGGTGTAATACGCACTACTCTCAGTCGTCTTTGTTTCGCTAACGTGACTCGGCTGCCCATCATAGATAAGATGGACTCAGTACCGTCCTACAGACTAGAGCCAGGGTTCCGAACTCGAGACTTTTGGGTTAGGAGTCATAAGCTCTACAATTCGACCACGCCGTCCCACATATAGCAGTAAATAGCGGAAGTTTACTACGCCAATATGACTGTCGTACACCTGCATATAATGCTGAGTGTGGTACATTTTGCAGGTAATCAAGCCAGGTAGTGTTGGAGTGTGTGGAGGAATCCTCTGCTCAGATGACAGTCATTGTCCAAGTGGTCAGATGTGTTGTGATAGTGCTTGTGGTGCCCCGCTGTGTACACCCGTGGACACTCCCACCTATCTGGTAACTACATCAATATATAATCTTGGTAGTTTTGTTAGTTTTTTATAACTAATCGATCATACTTTTGTCCATTTGTTGACTTATCGTTATAAACTATCAATGACACGTGACTCATGTGCTAGCAAAAGTTACTAATTGTTCAGTTGAGCTAACCACATTTCTATATTTCTCTTCACCCGTTGTTCAGTTGAGCTAACCACATTTCTATCTTTCTCTTCACCCGTTGTTCAGTTGAGCTAACCCCATTTCTATCTTTCTCTTCACCCGTTGTTCAGTTGAGCTAACCACATTTCTATCTTTCTCTTCACCCGTTCTGTTGAGCTAACCACATTTCTATCTTTCTCTTCACCCGTTGTTCAGTTGAGCTAACCACATTTCTAGCGTTCTCTTCACCCGTTGTTCAGTTGAGCTAACCACATTTCTATCTTTCTCTTCACCCGTTGTTCAGTTGAACTAACCACATTTCTATCTTTCTCTTCACCCGTTGTTCAGTTGAGCTAACCACATTTCTATCTTTCTCTTCACCCGTTGTTCAGTTGAGCTAACCACATTTCTATCTTTCTCTTCACCCGTTGTTCAGTTGAGCTAACCACCTTTCTATCTTTCTCTCCACAGCCCCATTCCAGGTGTGGCGTGTGCCCTAAAGGTCAAATCTGTGTCAACACAGGAATCGTGTGTGTCCGGTCACCTTGCCCTGGTCAGAGGTACAGGTGCATCGACCCCAGGTGAAAACATTCTTCTGCCAAGAATGTATGCCTGTTTCCAATTGTTCAACTTATTTAATTTTTACCTACTGATGTTTTGTTACAATGATCAACAGTACAGTCGCTCGTCAATTAAAACAGTAATCTTATACATCGCTATAAATAAACTGGTTATATAAAAAACACAATATTTACTGTGTTCTTTTTGTGTCTTCAATAATATTTCTATACTGGTTAACTACACCGTTGCCTAGTAAATGATTTCTATCTGAGATGAATCACATTAGATCTTGGCGTTCAATATGACACATTTGATTTATTAGATAAATTATTAGAGTGGTTTCATTTTGAAAGGATAATTATTTTCCAAGTCCTAACTGTTTTTCTTCTTTATGAGGTTCGAAATTAAAAAAAAAAACACTGGTCAAAATCTCTCTGTATGTAACTTCCAGCCTTCACACATACAATGTGTAAGGTATCAAGAAATGTAAAAATTAACTATGAACAAATGTATGTAAAACGAAGGTCAGTAATATAAAAGCATCTAATGATAGCTTTGGATTTTAAATTATGTTTTCAGTGTTGTTTTTCAATGTGTTATTAGATCCCCATACCCCATTTTTTATTGATTAGTAGAGTACCCATTAGGGCTGAGTAGACTCAGGTACGTCGTGCTAACTCAAGCTGGAGAACCGAACTAAAAACGTACGTGTTAGTAATCTTGCATTCTACCTCTCGACCACCCCCCTCCAAAATGGTATCAGACTTATTTAATATGATTACCAGGGAAAAAAAATGGAATCAGTTCATTTTTCCTTTCCACAGAGAATAAATATTGTAGTTGTATCTTCGATTAGAGCAGCAAAGATTGATTATGTTAATTAACCGTAATTTAATTTACGATCTGGATATTTTCCTAAATTACTTTTGCCTTTGTTTTCTGTCATATAAATATATATATATATATATATATATATATATATATATATATATATATATATATATATATATATAGATAGATATATATATATAGATATATATACATATAGATATATATATATATATATATATATATATATATATATATATATATATATATATATATATATATATATATATATATATATAAACATCAACTATAAAAAATACAATCAAAAACTTAATGTGTAGCCAGTTTTTAACCCCTAGCAGCATTTCAAAACAAACACAATTCACTTGTCAATCGAAGCTAGGGAATACCGTCAAACTGTAAACATGTTTGTTGATATCAACTTTGCCTGATGTTAAACTACGCTACTTAAACAAGCAAAAAGGAAACGTTTTGGCGTGTGAGTCCCCCACATGGGTGAAACCCCATACGACATATCAGATACCCCCCAAACAACATCATGGTCACATCCGTTTCCTATATAAGATCAGTGCAACCTTAAGTGATTAACTGAAACAAAAGAAGATCCTTGAGGTTTAAGATGGTGAATTCGTGGCAATTCGTTGTTCTATTGGTGACATCTTTAGTGGTGACCACTTCATCACATGTGATGAGCAGACAGGTATGTGCGCCATATAATAGTGTGAATGCGTCTAGGATTACATATATTTGTAAAGTTGTTTTAGTCACTTTGGAAGTGACTAGTTTTACTAAAATCACATATATTTATATAACAGATATAATGCTTGGAGTAACTCATTAAAAATTAACCACTAATCTTTCTCGAATCTATATATATATAATTCTCTTCTTGGAGACGTTAGAAAACACCAAGCTGTAAACGCGCCTAGCAGTCCCCTCTCTTCCTCTCTATGCATATCGCAACAACCCCCACCCCAACATGGTCTGTTGAGCTGTGGTTCACGCTAAATGTTTACAATCGTAGAGCCGGGTTTAGTGACGCCTATTAGGGGCAGATAATTAAGTTTGAAACTATTTTAAATTTAGGGGAGTTAACTAAGCGGAGGCTGCTTTCATGGGGGGGGGGGTGGGAAGGAGGATTTTTAGTGTTATAAAGCAAATATTTTCAGTGACAGCATTGGTACTGTCGAAGTCATAAATTATGAATTACTGAAAAGTAGAAAATAAAACTAAATAGCGGCGTTTGATACGCCGCGGGTCAGCTCATATTCTTATATAACACTACGGGGATGGCAACGCGGGATTTAGACATGATTTTTTAATGAATTTTTAGTTACTTAAACTTTTTAAAATAGAATAGAATCTCGTAGGAAACAAAGAATTGCGCACCAAACGAAAGACAAAAAACATGAGTTAAATAGTGCGGAATATTATAAGTAGAACCTACATTAATAATTAAAAACAAAACAAACATTAGAAATAACAACAGTCTTTTATTTATAATTTTAAAATTCTCTATAATGATGAGTTCATAAAAACCTTTAATAATATTTGAACTTCGAGCCCTGCTGAATTTACTTTTTGTACAATAAAACTTTTAAGGCTATTGTTTCTTTTTTAATAAAGTAAAGTCAATATTATTTCCGAATATTTGGTTGGCAACGGGTTCCACATATATGAAGACCTATATCTAAGGTGTTGTCCATATATTTTCTTTTATGTAGAAACTATTTTCTTAGTCGTAAAAATTACATAAATTTTTTTTGTTCTCATCATTTTTAACTCAGGCTGACCAACCAAGTGATGATTTGACCACCCTGGAACCTCCCAGAACAAGTACCGAGCCCCACAGTACCACCATATACCCACCCAGCGATCCTAACGACGAATGCCACGGGTGCCCAGGAGGGCAGATCTGCCTCTCAATAATACCCCCGTGTTACCGAGGTCCTAGTGAGTGTTTTAATCATGTGCCCGACCCAAGTCTGAACTGTGAACAGTACGTCTGCAAGCCCATCCCCATGTGCCTACCCTACTATTTTAGCGGTTGATGGTCATTTTGCGAAACGAATGTTTAAAGAAACAATGGCTTAGAGAAAAATAAAAGATACAGAAACAAAAAAATAGCGTTATTTATGTGTGTGTGTGTGTGTTTAAATATTGTTTCTTAAATAAAAGTTCATCAAAAGGTTTTAAAACACAAAAATGTAATATTTCTGCAACCCTTACCCCAAATAACTTAAAGATGTAGAAAAGTACTCCCCCACTCTCTTTTGCGTTAATTAACCCCGATCTTCACTTATCCTCTGATGTTTACGACAGATCACCCAGATAACATATCCAGGCAAAATATCCAATAAAGATCTGTCGTAACACATCAAGCTTCTGTGACGTAGATGTCTATAACGAAAATGTGTAGGCACGGAGAGATTTATGTGAGAGTGGCCTCCCCTTGAAAGTGGTGTGCTATCGGGGGGGGGGGGGGGGGGAAAGGTGTGAACGAGGCAGTGTGTGAAGCAATGTGGTGTGGTGTCAACAGTGTACCTACTTGTCCGTTTTCTTATTGTCATGTTTTTTGTTGTTTATGAAAATTACCAGTAAATTCTCTTTATGGATTCTGTTTATTTACAATTGTTACACTTGGCCCAAACGAGCCCAAAATACCTAAGAAGCCGTTTATAACACTTCAGCTGCCCGGCGGATCGAACTCGGGACTTTTCAATATTGCAACCATGAGCCTTACCGACTCAACAGCTTAGCCCTCGGAGGTTCCTTTAAAAAATAATTAAAGATCCATGTAAAGTTTACCAAGCACCTTACAAACTAATGCAAAAGACTATGCGACGTGCACAACACCTGCTATTAATGCTAGTGCGCCAGATTATAAGTAAAAATAAACGAGAATTAGCTCCACTAAACTTGCTCATACATTCATTCATATGTTGAAGTAAGAGTCAGGATGGTACTTTCAGGGCGATGGGGAAATATAAATGTTCAGTAATTGTGTTACAAAATCAATTGGTAACGGAGAAAACAGAGTGGCGAAAAGTTCTCAAGCTGCTGTATAAGAATAAGATGTACCAGTACCAAAGACTGAATTTTTTTTTTAAACTGTAAATAGATAAAGTGTCATTTCAACTTTTCGGAAATAGGTCAAAATATTTCTGAAGCCTACATATAAGATACGATAAATGTGAAATTTCGTCACCTAAATAAAACAGTACTTAGGTTGTCGGATTGAGAAAAACTAAAAAAATATATAATTCCAGACTACACTATCCTCTTGTATACCGAGGCAATGGAAACAGAAGAACTACTTAGTAGGATCCATGTGTCTTGGGCACAAACCGGAAAGATGACGATGAGTCCGAATATTTTTGTTTAAATTCATTATAGCGCTAACAACGACTACAACAATGAAATAATTGGCCACGAAAAGTATCCACAAAATAGGGCCCACCATATAAAATCACGTGTTATATTTAAGCGTGTGTATTGGTTACTATAAAATAGCCAATCTTTAAAATGAAGGCATCATTGGTTATATTAAAAAACCAATGAATAGTTCGTTTGTTCTCGATATGTGTAGATTCAAAATTTTCACTGACTGACATAGGAGGATTAGTTTCCTTAATATGGCTTATAAGTAGGTCACCAACCAGTTCTACGGCTCAATAAAACCTGCATGAGCAATAGAACTGGTTGGTGACCTACTTACCAGCCCTATTGCCACAGAGCCCACACTTCATAATTATAACACCCTTTGCAAAGACCCTTTGGTCGCCTTGGAACTAGGTTCGCACCTTGCTGTGGTTTCACCCTTTTCGCACATTGTGGGCCCGATGAACTACCCGTGAGCATAGTTTCAGAAATATTGCTAGACGCTTGTATCTGACACTACGTAACATTCGTTTGACACGGTTCACCAGGTTACCCGTTTGCTTATTGAATCGTATGTTAGGGGTTGGCGTGATCGAGTCGGTAAAAGCTCATGGTTGCTAAACCGAAAAGTCTCGAGTTCGAAGCCTCGGGCAGATGAGGCTCGTTAGCTGGGGACATCCACTCTTCTAGGAGAGACAACTCCAAAATCAAACAACTGCTGCCTTGTAGTTTGTTCTTGGTTGGACAAAGGCTACGGAAGCAAATCCAAAATGAAAAGCAGGCTGAAATCGGAGTCAATGGCCTTAATGGCGCACAACCAGTTGACACGTATCCTTAATTGTGATGGAAGCATGGTCGAGTGGGCAAAGCTCATGGTTGATAAACTTCGAAAAAAAATCTCGAGTTCAAACCCTCTGGCAGATAAGGCTCGATCCGTTCCAACACTAAAAATTAAGAACGAAGAAGAAGAATCGCATGTTCAAGGACAGATTAGGGTATTAAAATGTTTTAGTCAGAAGACCTGGCTAAGCACATACCGGATTATAAAAATCCTACGTAAAGCTGATGGCATGACTAGATATACACCTGAATACTTAGTGAGCGGAAACAATTATTTTCTTCTGCAAGACAGTATGTTCTCATAAATATCCTACAGTTTTGTTAAGAAATTATATATTTTAAAAAGTTACCGAAAATATAGGGCCTAACTCAATTAAAATTTAATCACGCTTAATATAAATACTAATTGACTATGATGATTGCATTAACTGATATGAATTATGTTGTATTGTGTTAAAAGACCAAAGCTACCAGATGTACCATATTCATGTATTACGCTCTAAAATCAATTGGTAAACAAAAATGTCCACGCATACAATCCATGAATTGCTCAATGCACACTCACACACTTTGAGCTGATAGAAAAGACATTTTTGAAATCAAAACAAAATTATAAATGCTTTACGTGGGTATTGTTTTACCCTTCAAATATGTGAGTTAATGATTCATTATACCAGCAACAAAAAGTGGTTTGAATTGTGTTAGATTCGCCTTGATCATCCATCCACAGCCCACCCCTCCCCGAATCCTAACGCCAGACTGAAACTTAGTTCTAAAAGTGGTTAGGTGTTAGGTTACTGGAAGTTAACTAAAATACATACATGTCTTGCTAATGTCAACGTTAACCCTAACCCCAACCTTAACCCAAACACTAGTCCTGCCATACGCCTAACCCTAATTTCTAACCATAAAGCTAGTGGAGATTACAATACTACTATCAAACTAACACACCTAGTTTTGAAGAGACTATAATCGGACATCGAGATCAACAACAATCCGTTTAATTTGTTTTAAATGCAAGATTTGCTTCTAGTTTTAGCCTTAACGTATTATAGAGATGACTTATGTAGACCTATGTTGTGAACACAATGACACGACGTTACGGGTGACCAAGTGAGTCGCACAAATATTTAAGACAAACAACAACAAACGTGTTACAGAACACAAGACTAAATAAAACAAAGTCACAATACGAAATTATAGCTAGACACAATTCACAAAAGTAAAACACCAACCTAGGATACAGTGGCCACCGAACTAAAGTGCCCAGCGCTAACCTACACTAACCTACACTAACCTACACTAACCTACGCTAACCTACGCTAACCTACACTAACCCACACTAACCCACACCAACCCACACCAACCCACACCAACCCACACCAACCCACACCAACCCAGACCAACCCAGACCAACCCAGACCAACCTGCACCAGCCTGCACCAGCCTGCACCAGCCTGCACCAGCCTGCACCAGCCTGCACCAGCCTGCACCAGCCTGCACCAACCTGCACCAGCCTGCACCAGCCTGCACCAGCCTGCACCAGCCTGCACCAGCCTGCACCAGCCTGCACCAGCCTGCACCAGCCTGCACCAGCCTGCACCAGCCTGCACCAGCCTGCACCAGCCTGCACCAGCCTGCACCAGCCTGCACCAGCCTGCACCAGCCTGCACCAGCCTGCACCAGCCTGCACCAGCCTGCACCAGCCTGCACCAGCCTGCACCAGCCTGCACCAGCCTGCACCAGCCTGCACCAGCCTGCACCAGCCTGCACCAGCCTGCACCAGCCTGCACCAGCCTGCACCAGCCTGCACCAGCCTGCACCAGCCTGCACCAGCCTGCACCAGCCTACACCAGCCTACACCAGCCTACACCAGCCTACACCAGCCTACACCAGCCTACACCAACCTACACCAACCTACACCAACCTACACCAACCTACACCAACCTACACCAACCTACACCAACATGATTGAAGTAAAGTGCTGTACTGATGCGAGCAAAGAACGCTAACACAGAGCTTTTATACTTTTACACAGCAAGTACAAACCGGACTATGACCACGTGATTAAGACAGCTCACAACACGAGGGGTAAACACTAGGGGACGGGACCAGAGTTTCTTTCAGGAATCTCTTCGAAAAAAGTCTACCAGGGTCCGATTCCCACCCCCTCCCCCGAGAAAAAGTCTGAAAAAAAACAGGTTACTACGTACAAACAACATTCACCCCTTTCACCCCCTTCACTCATTCGCTATAACCACATTACAGATCGCTTTGTGGGTTTTATTACAGTATTTAATTTTTTTTTAAATTCTTAGACAAATGTAGAATCATAGTGCTTTTTTGTGCCTAATTAGGCAAAGTGACTAAGATAATGTTGGCGTGTTGTTGTTTTTAACCTACTAAATTTAATTTTTTTTTAAATTGATAAATGTTTATAAAACGTGCAGTTAAGTTGTATTGATTACAAAATAAACCACAATAATTGCGGGGGCAGCGTGGTCTGGCGGGAGAGCGTATGGTTGCTCATCTAAACGCTCCCGGTTCGAGACCCTGGTTACACATATTTAGACAAAGGCAAATGTAAACTATTGGTATCCGACATTTTTTTTTAAAGAAACGTACTATATATTTTTTATTATTTGATTATGCATGTTGCATTTAATAAAAACTTTGTGAAACTGTTTAACTTGCTTAGGTTACTATAGAGGATAGTGCTTAAAGGAAATGAATTTGACATATAGTAAAGTTATTAAAAATGGATCAACTTCTGCAGAAAGCTAGCTTAAAATTAAAATAAAAAGACGAAAACAGTGGGTTTTTTTTTTTTGTTTAAAAAAATTCACTTTTAAAATCCAAGTACCACTAATATTAAAATGAGTATTCGAAAAGTATAAATATCTGCATTCGGCCATCAATTAAACCACCGCGAAAAATAAAAAATAAAAAACTTGTCATAAACACTGAACACCTAACAACATGTCCTTGTAGTAACAAAGTAACTACAATGTCAAATATCCACATTTCACAAACACATCACAGTTGCTATAATCAAATGTTATAAACAACCAAACATGACATCGTAGTAACAAAGTCACTACAATATCACATTTCATAAACAGATCACAATCGTTATAAACAAATGTTAACATGAGAAGATACATTTACATGAATTGTAAACAAAACCATAAACATGTTTATTATAAGCCACAATTAATTACTTTTAAAAAGCTTCCAAGAAGCTATTGTACTGGCAACCTCTATTTAGTCTTCACACACCTTACACTAATATTCTATACTAAGAAAACGAGTGGGAAGGGGAACAGGTTTGTAATATTTGACGTGTTACAAAAGGAAGCAATTAATTACTTAAATCTTGACGTCAAATAATAGCTAACGTGGATAAAAGGTTTCAAACTGTCAACGCAGGGCAGCTATTGAATTAATAACCAATACGTTTCACAGTTGCGCAATGTATAATATTAACAAAACAAATTGCCGGATAGGCTTCTTTTTCCCTTACTACGAGCAAAACATGCTTTAAATATACAGGTAACGTAAACATAACCCCACGGCAAGGATGTACAAGTTCGGTGACCCCACGACTCACTGGTCATGTTGACAACATTTCAGGATACATAGGATGGTGCGTCACCAGTATCCGTGTGGGTGACGCGGATATATTTATATCCGGAGGTAAAGTTGAGGTGTACCAGGTCACGTGACCGAGGTAACAGGTACAAATAGGGCGAGAAAATTATTGTCTGCATCCAGTCTTTACATCTACATTACATCATAATGGCTTCATACCTCATTCTCTGTGCTGTCACAGTAAGTAACTGACAGTATAGAAATATATATACGTATATACATATATACATATATACATATATACATATATACATATACATATATATATATATATATATATATATATATATATATAAATATATATATATATATATATATATATATATATATATATATATATATATTTGGGCTAGGTTATATACATATATATCCGACATTTAGTTTATCTCTGTCTCTCTCTCTCTATCTCACTCTCTCTCTCTCTCTCTCTCTCTCTATCTATATATATATATATATATATATATATATATATATATATATATATATATATATATATATATATATATATATATATATATATATATATATATACTGACTGATCATTCTTCTTTACTTACAAATTTTACATGTAGTTGCCTCTACTTAAGTAAACGATTTTTCGTATTTTAATAAATGTTTGCTTTCTACCTTTCAGGTGTGCACACTGTTTTTACAGGTAAGCGAAAGTACTTACGTGTAGTTTCTATTGTGGTTGATTTATAATAAATCCATGCTGTTGTGGGTTTAAACATAAGATGAAGAAAAAATAATAAAAAGTAGTTTTAAAATTAGTCATATTGTATACTTTTTATACAAATGTTTATGAAGTATTTATTTTACAAACTATGTTTTAAATTTAATTCTTTCGTTTTATTTATTGCAGGCCCAAGCATGTATGTATTATTTCACTGTTGTCATTTAATTCGTGCATTAAATTGTCAAATTATAATACACTTTTAGGCTATTCTTACATTTTAATGATAAATCAATGACTAATTAAGTTTATCGTTACACATATCTAGTTATATGCCTGTGTGTGTGTTCGTGTGTGTATGTTTGAGTGTGCGTATGTTCGTATGTGCGCGTCTGCGTGTGTGTGTGTGTATGTGTGTGTGAGTGTGCGTGTGTGGATAGCATTGTGTATGAACAATTTAGAGAGTGACTCGATTATTACGCTGAACAGACTGAACATGCTGACCATCACATATCTACACTCAATTATGAGAACCACTAACCTTAATGTTCCATTCCTTCTATTTTTAGTTCTACCCTTCCTCGACCCCTGTTCCAACTTTCCCTGTTACAACGGGGGTCAATGTACGGCCCCAGCTGACGCCCCCTACTGTGTGTGCCCACCTGATTACACTGGGGCTAATTGTGAAACCAGAGTGACGTCTTCTGAGAGATGTCCAGTAAGTCTTTTTTTACAGCATATTAATTTTAAAATGTAATACATATACATATAGGGGACGGAGTGGTCTAGCGGTAAAGAGCTGCACTGCTAACCCGTAAGTCTCGAGTTCGAATCCGGGTTCAAATCAGTAGACCATCTCTGAGTCCACCCAACTCTGATGGGTACCTACCTCACGTTAAGGAAAGTTAAAGCTGCTGGCTATAGTGCTGACCACACTATCACTTCATATGCCGAGGTCACAGAAACAAGTGAACTCTACTATAGACCGTCAGGTTTGAAAAAGGAACTTTTTTACTTACATATACTTATATATGAATCATCTCCTTTCCCTTTTCTGCCTAAGACACGTGACCGACACAAAAAAACTCCCTCCACTTTTGTCGGTCTTCCACAATTTTCCTGGCAGTCCCCCATGACAGTCTGCCACTGCTTCCTCGCTGTGCGCCTTCACGTCTCCTTTGACCGTCCCTGCTTTATTTTTCCTTGAGGCGCCCAGTTTAGCGCCTTTCCCGCGATATCATCGAAATTTATTCGTAGGACGAGCCCCCTCCAGGGCCATTATACATATGCATAGAAACATTAATACTATGGGTTAATCATCTATTACCGTTCGTGCCCAAAAGACAAGCGGCGTCTGTTTAAATGACCTAGGAATACGAGGGGATGGTGTAATCCGCACTACTCTCAGTCGTCTTTGTTTCGCTAACGTGACTCGGTTGCTCATCATAGTTAAGATGGACTCAGTACCGTCCTACAGACTAGAGCCAGGGTTCCGAACTCGAGACTTTTGGGTTAGGAGTCATAAGCTCTACAATTCGACCACGCCGTCCCACATAACTACATATGCCAGTAAATAGCGGAAGTTTACTACGCCAATATGACTTTCGTACACCTGCATATAATGCTGAGTGTGATACATTTTACAGGTGATCGAGCCAGGCAGTGTTGGAGTGTGTGGAGGAATCCTCTGCTCAGATGACAGTCATTGTCCAAGTGGTCAGATGTGTTGTGATAGTGCTTGTGGTGCCCCGCTGTGTACACCCGTGGACACTCCCACCTATCTGGTAACTACATCAATACATAATCTTGGTAGTTTTGTTAGTTTTTTTATAACTAATTGATCATACTTTTATCCATTTGTTGACTTTGTTATTGAACGTAGTCCTAATTAAAATATATCGATTGAATATTAATGTATACTAATGGTCACATTGGGAATGTTATGGCGTAAGAATAAGACGAATAATTGATAACTCAACATATAAAAAAAATAACATCAAATGTTTCACAACATGTTGGGTTTGTTTAACATTGAGTAACACAAGCTTATTTGTTTTTATGACGAATGTGATTTTCTTTTTATAGTAGAGCAAAAAAAGGCTACCGGTTTTAAGTATTGCATAGGATGTAAACCCTACATACTGTAGAATATAAACAATACAAAACATGCCGTCTATCTCTACCTTACTCCCCTCTCTCTGGGTCTAACACTTCGTCTCCCCCGCACTCCGCTCCATCAGTTACCCCCTGGTCATTTCCACCTCGTCATCACTCCTAGTATCAATTAACCCCTCTTTCAACTACACCCCTTGCCCATTACCCTATCCTCAGAATATTGGTCACACCTATCCCTATCCATCTCCATACGCATATCTATCTCCCTATCCCTAACTCTATTTGTCAACGAAATCCTTCTCTAATCATATCCTTATCCTATCATTGCCCCTGTTCCAAATCACAACTATAATCATATCCCTACCCCTGTTTCCAACAATATCATTAACCATAATCCTATCCTACCCATTACTTATTCTAAGCCTATCACTATCCGTATCTACTTCCGTAATATTCTACTGCAGTGATTTGGGGGGGGGGGGGGGGTAAGTGTAGAAATGGGGGGAGGGGGGTCGTACGTCACTGACATAGGTTCAATGTCGGGTGCGGGTAAAGTCTTGCTTCCCCCCCCCCCACCTCCACTATCGTTATAAACTGTCAATGACACGTGACTCAAGTGCTAGCAAAAGTTTCCAGTTGTTCAGTTGAGCTAACCACATTTCTGTCTTTCTCTTCACCCGTTGTTCAGTTGAGCTAACCACATTTCTATCTTTCTCTTCACCCGTTGTTCAGTTGAGCTAACCACATTTCTATCTTTCTCTTCACCTGTTGTTCAGTTGAGCTAACCACATTTCTATCTTTCTCTTCACCTGTTGTTCAGTTGAGCTAACCACATTTCTATCTTTCCCTTCACCTGTTGTTCACTTGACCTAACCACATTTCTATCTTTCTCTTCACCTGTTGATCAGTTGAGCTAATCACATTTCTATCTTTCTCTTCACCTGTTGTTCAGTTGAGCTAACCACATTTCTATCTTTCTCTTCACCTGTTGTTCAGTTGAGCTAACCACATTTCTATCTTTCCCTTCACCTGTTGTTCACTTGACCTAACCACATTTCTATCTTTCTCTTCACCTGTTGATCAGTTGAGCTAACCACATTTCTATCTTTCTCTTCACCCGTTGTTCAGTTGAGCTAACCACATTTCTGTCTTTCTCTTCACCTGTTGTTCAGTTGAGTTAACCACATTTCTATCTGTCTCTTCACCCGTTGTTCAGTTGAGCTAACCACATTTGTATCTTTCTCCTCACCTGTTGTTCAGTTGATTTAACCACATTTCTATCT